GTTTACATATGAAAGTCAAATTGGAAATTGGACGAAAATTGGCATGAAATTAGCATGAAATACAGTGTTAAGATAATCCTGATTTTGAACCGTACGGGTTCATTAGTTCCAGCCAACGTTTTCGGACAAGACAGAAACATTACTGCTGTTTTACAAAATTGATTGGTATTATTCGCCAAAAAAGCATTTCTTGCTCAATTTTTTTCCCGGCGAATGCTCCTCAGTGACTTTAGTTCCACTTTCCCTGAGTTCATCATCTATTCGTAAGGGAAAATATGTTAGTCAATCTCAGGCAAAATGATATCTCCTTTTCCATAAACAGAAAAGTGTAAAAAGCCGTAACCAGATATTAAGAGAACCGCTCAAGAGTAGGCACGCCCAAGGAAAGAAAAACTAGTTCCGCAAACTGACAAATAAAAACATCGGCTGAATGAGAGACTAAGAGGATGAGAGACAGAGAGACCAAGTGACTGAGCGACAGGGTGGAAGATGACAGAGCAACAGACTCAAAGACTCAAAGATCGAGTAACAATGACAGAGCAACAGAGTGACAGAGACAAAGTGACGGAGCCACAGAGCCACAGAGTGACAGAGCGACATAGTAACAGAGCGACAGGGTGACACGGTGACAGGGTGACAGGGTGACAGGGTGACAGAGTAACAGAATGACAGAGTGACAGAGAGACAGAGAGAGAGAGCAACAGAGAGACAGAGTGACAGAGTGACGGAGTGACAGAGTGACAGTGTTACAGAGTGACAGAGTGACAGAGTGGACAATGACAGAGTGGCTACTGCTTGTTTACAAAATTGATTGGTAATTTTGCAAAAAAGTATTTCTTGCATAATTTTCAATTAAGGTATTTAAATTAACTGACATAAACTTATAGGAGGAACCCACCTTTAAAATTGAAGTATGCCTTCAAATCAAAAATGCTTTCCTCGAGATCTGTAAATTATAAAGATAACATAATTTTTTATTAAGTAAGTTCTGGACACAATCTTAGAATTTGATCAAGTCATCTACACCACAAGCTGTACTATAATTAATTTGTGTGGTTGAGTTGTTCGAAAACTGATATTCCTCTTGGAAATTAGTAGTCAAAGCACTTTGGATTTGCAGCCCCTAATTTTTCTGTTTGGGTGATAGAAGTCATCGATAACACCCTTATGAGGATCCTTGGAACGCAATTGCACCAACAGACATTTAAAAGGTACACACCATAAATGCGTTCCTCATTTCCATCCTCATCAGGTGAAGATTCCCCATTTTTTTCAACCCTTTGAGAGCTCTTAGGTAGTGATGATTCCATTTTTATTTCTTCAAGGACACTGATCCATTTTTTGCTAGTCACCAGTGCTGCTATTTTCACACGAATATCTCTGTGGGGACCTGACCTAAGTTTAGGAAGCTTTATCGAGGAACAATCCCCTTCTTCCTGGCAACGGTCTTTACGCCCGCTTGGATGCCAATACCAATGACACGCGGCCTTTAATTCCGCTTGAAAGTTTTATTCATCTGGTGTGGTGGGATAATGGTCCTTCATGTACACCAGAACTGCTCTCACTAGTGTGCTGAAATCCATGAGGGACATTCCACCGTCACATTTTTCGAGTTTTATTTCCTTCCAATCCAGTTCCTTTTTCACCTGTTCTGTGCTTTTAGCCTATAATTTTAAAAGAGATGAAAGAGTTTGAAACGGAATTCATCTGGAAACAATTAATTACATACATTGTGCAGTTGAGAAGAATGCATGAGAATTATGTATTGATTCAAGAAATTTACACCCAAAATTATGCATATATCCTCACTCCACTCTGAGAATTAGAGTAAAATGTAAATTGTTTCCACCGTTACCCATAGTAAACGTTTGTTTAGAGGCGTCAAGTGTGTTGGTGTCAATATCGACTGTCCTCTTATTTGGCATGACCACAATTATTAATTCTTTGGCAAAATTAGCAAAAGTCTAAATGTTTTGACAAAGTTTAAATATTACGAATCAACTGCAACACTTAAAAGTATCCTTATATTGCATATGATTGTACTCTGTGGGATAATTATAATGTGCTCCTCTATCTTACATTTTCCATGTTCCTTTTCGATGAAATAATAGAGCATTATTGGGAAGGTGTTTTTGGTTGGAAATTCCATGGAAGTACCGAAACTACTTACTTTAGCAGCGCATATTCCGTCGAACACGGAGTGGTTTTCCACTTTAAGTTCATCAGAGTTACTCGGCCAAATATCGGCTTTCCAAAGATGAACTGAGGATTCTTTTTCTAAATTCTCTCTTTGATTGAGAGGATAGTACAGACGAGGCTCTGTAGCCAGCCAGACACGATGAGGCTGCTGGTCAAGCCAGCCACTTTCATGAACCCCGTTCTCTCCTGGAAGAAAATCTAATATTACTTCTCATAAGAGAGGTCTCTGTGAGGGAAAAGAGGCGGACGCTCTAAGATTAACAAATTATCTTGAAACATTATGGAAATGAAGAGCACTCCTATTTCTATAGCTCCAAACATCATGTTGTGGAGAGTTGCCATAAATAGGGTCGGGGGTTTCAGGAAGTTTTTTAAGCTTAGTCATACAATGTGGACATTGGATTGACCTGTTGCAAGACTATGGAACTACAAAGCAATTTTTTGGCCACTGTGGACATCTGCAGTCACAAGTCAGAGTTCCAGGTGAAATTTAGAGTTTGAATTTGGGTTTCTTTCTTGGTGACTACGGGATCAAAGATACAATCAAACCGCTCACTCAGGTCCCAGAAATTCTCGTGCTGTTGCGATGAACTTCTTATCGAAAAACATTCATATATGTCTAAGAAGGGCCTTCACATCGTAGAATGAAGGGTTACTTCAAGCCAATTAGGGTACGGCAACGATCGTAAATTCAAAGGAGTTTCAGTTCGTAGTACACTGGACAAAACTGTTGTGGATTGACATTTTACAATGTAGTAAGAACAAGAAAAACTTAATCAAATTCCTTACATAGAAAATTTATACCAACAGAAATGCATCTAAGGGTTGTAAAAATGGCAGGAAAATAGATGTGTCCGCAAATATCAATGGCACCAAAATTCTTGCATTTCAAAAAAAATGTCTCTTCTTGAGAAATGCTTAAAAATGTCTCCGTTTCTTTTAAAATGCTACAATTACTTTTAAGCTGCGATGCATTTTAAAAGAGAGGCTTTAAATAATCCCTTTTTAATTTTTAGACAAAAGAGGAAGAAAAATCGCATTTAACCTCAAAAAGGTCCAGAAAGCCATTTTCAACACGGTTAGGAACCACAGTGCTCGAACGTATTGCGAGTGGCGTTGGGTCGAACTCAGCTTTTGAAATTTAAATCCCCCCGAGGGACTAGAAGAGAGGTGTGTGCTTTGAGAATATTTTTAGGGACATCGAGAGTCGATGGACAATCGCAAACAGAATTGTTACCTTTATTTTGACTTTCATTGACTTACCGCAAGTGACTGCTAAAGTGGGTAGATTAGAAAAAGTTGTAAGTTCGAAATTTTCGCTGGAAAGATTACCACAACTTTTAACTTAGAAGACGTAAACCATTAATTATTTAGGTAAACAACGCGTACATGTCGAATTGCAGAACATTTTAAAATGTCTCCTGAAGAATAAGATTTGCTAGAACTTTCACTTTTTTACTGTTTTTCCTTAAATACAACAGCATTCATTTTCCCTGAGTGGCCATCAATTCTCGATATTCTCAGAAACACTATCAACGTTTCATTTAGAACTGCATAGCTAAAGATAAAGCCGCGGTCTGATTGGCTATTAAATTGGAATATTTCAATTTCAATTCAAAATTCGGCAGACATTCATTTTCTGTAAATTTGTTCATTCCCAAGTTGACATTTTCGTAGCACGAGTTACATTTTTGTCTACATGATAGCAATAATTATCGCTCGCGACTTACGTAAGCAATATCCCTTCATTCTTCACGCACAAGTGCAATTCCACGCTAAATACCCTCTCTTCGATAGCCGAGCAGAGCGCGATTTTACCTTTAGCTATGCGATTCCAAGTTAAATTTCACCTGAAAAACCGATATCGCACGTTTCGCGAAGCGATGGAATTCACTCATGGATTTCACTCGTTAGGCAATGCACTATTCTGTATTATCAGTCTTCCAGAAATTCAACGTGCTGTTGTAATTTTCTTCAATTCATTATTAATGATCAGTCGTTCAAAAATTAAAGTTACACCATCTAGAACTGTTTTTTCATGAGCGTTCTATCGTTGGTTTAATGATTTCTTACCTTGCATACTATAGTCATATTTGCTTGAAAATGAGGGCCCGTCCTTTGTTCCTGCCCTAAAAACGGAGAGCTTCTCTTTCTTGACCTTTGCCATCCCTTTCATGCTTAGAGAATTTAAAAGAAAAGTTTTTAAGTATTTCCGTTGGATAAAAGATTTGATAAGAGTCTAACAAATCCAACTTACGTATATATGCACGATCCTTCGCAGTAAAGCACTATTTGAGCAATAGTGAAAATCAGACCTGAAAAAAATTTCACGCCTGTACGGGATTCGAACCACTGACCTCTGCGATACTAGTGCAGCGCTCTACCAATTGAGCTAACAAGCCAACTGGGAGCAGGCCATCAAATTAATTCAATTTTTTGAATTATCATCAATTAAATTTTTTTCAGGTCTGATTTTCACTATTGCTCAAATAGTGCTTTACTGCGAAGGATCGTGCATATATACGTTCATAACCGCAGTTCTTACATATGTTTCATATGTTTGTTGTTGTTAAATCTAACTTACTTTGAAGCGTTCGTGCTGTGTTTAAATAATAAATGAAAGGCGACGAGTTTAAAAATACAACTTTTCGAATTTACAACTATTTGATTGACGTCAGAGTCAAACTTTGTAATTAAAACCTTATGGACTTGAGAAACTTTATCGTAATTGCATGACAATTAAAGTTCCTTCTGGAAGCTTTGTCTTTGACCTATGTATTTGGTGGTGTAACAGCTGGTAACAAAACCAACACAGTACATTGCATGCAAGTCCTTAGCATGAAATACATGATATGATTGATAGGCTTATATGTCAATCTACAAATTTCCATCATGGCTAGAAATGAAGAGACTCTCGTAGACCTTGAAGAAGAAAAGCAGTTCCAGTTTAATTACAGGAAAAAGATAACGAGGAGATTTAAATTCATCAGAAGGGGTAGTGAACGAGAGGCCATTGTTAGGAGACGCATCAGACAGAAGATCAAACCCTTCGATCCAGAGCTATATCAAAAGTTAATTGCGGGAAAGATTAACGAATGGGATATACAGAACGATTTTTGGTACTCTCCGGAGGACGAAAGGACCATTTTACCATATTTGCCCGGTAAAGATGGAGTTTTTCATGTATTACCGATCTAAATGGATTTTCCTCGAGATCACAGAGATCTCGGAGATTATCTATGGTTGCAATGAGGTTTTTTTCCTAAAATACGTATCTACAAGATAATTAGACAAGTTAAATAGTTACTAATCGAAATTGAGGTCCTCATATTTTGTGAATTTCGCTCATTTTAGGCTCGGTTAGATGTTCTAAAACTATTTCGTGCTTGAGCAGACATTACAACTCAATATTTCATCCACGTATGTGCGTGCTTATTTAGTCTTGCAGCTGTTGTAACGGGAAAATTCATAACCTGACGGGGGAATTCCGCGTTTTATTATCCAACTATACTTCGTAGAG